CTTGTATTTCAGTTCATCAAGTTCATCTCGCATGCAATAATAAAACGGCGAGACGTTCAACTCCTTGGCCCATTTCACAAGTTGAAAATTTGTGGTCGTGTCTTTTCCGTATTTATCGAGAAATGCATTCATTTTTTAAGTTGATTTTTTTTAGGTGTTTTTCGAAGTAGGCGGAAAGTATTGCTGAAGACCCAATTGACGAAATATATACGTAGTTTGTGTTTGAAAAAACTTGTATAACATTATGATAAAACACATTCAATAATGTTTTGAAGATAAATTTACATTTAAATTTAAAAAATCTTAATTTAAGAGAGCGTAAATGCTTGTCGACACCTAAATTTCTTAACCTTTCATCTAAATCTTCATTTTCGAGATTCATTTTTAAAAGTCAGTTTTTTGAAGTTCATTTTGATAAAACCTTCCTATGATTTGTTCTTTGTCTTGATTGATCAATTCATACGTGGGAGGTGATGTGTTGTTTACTTTATCAACGATGAATATCTCGTTAGTCCAATAGCCGACGTAACCTTTCTGAAACAATGATTTATATTTAAAAATACGAACTCGATCTCCAACTTTGAATTTGGGTTTAATATTCAAATTGCTAATCTCGTTTTCAAAGTTGTTTCGAGTGTTGACGGACTTTATGATATTCGGGTTATTAGAGGCTTGGGATGGCGTCACACCTATAGACAAATGTATTTTGTTATTGTATTCGCCGACAACAACTGGTAATATTTTAAGCCATTTTTGAGATTTCAATTCCGTGAATTTCTTGAATAATTTGCTTTTAAGAGTCCTGTTGAATCTTTCTATCACTACGGCTTTACCTTCGTTATGCGTGCTGTAAATTTCAAACCCCAGAGATTTCACATTTCTGTTGTAGAATTCGCTTCCTTTATCAACCCACAACTTTAGGGGTCGTCTGTCGGATTGTTTCATTATGGTTTCGAATGCTTGTTTGACAGTCAGACCCGATTTGTTTTTCAAGGGAAAGACCCAAGCATATCTCGTGTATAAGTCGATCACCGTCAAACAATACTTGTACCCTCTCTCGACTGGCATGTTGATTAAATCGGCTGACCAAATTTCATCTTTATCAAAAACTTTGACTTTGAGGTAATGTTTGTTTTTTCGAAATTCTTTGTGAATCTCGTCTGCTATGCCCATACCCAATTTCAATTTTGCCTTCAAGAGTTTTATGATAAGAGCCCGCAGTAATTTCTCTTTGAAAGTGGGATTGGGAATATTTTCGAGTTCGTCTATCATATGTTTGTCTGCTTGGTGTCTGAATGTTACGTCTTTGTTTCTGTACAGTATGTCGTGTTTGAGCGCTGCTGCGTCAACTCTATTAACGGGTTCTTCCGCTGGTTTGGGATTATCATTTTCGTCTAAACGCCTATCTAATCTCATGTCTGGACCTGTATAATTGTGGCCTGGGAGATGTTTTTCTCCGGGATATTTTGACCATGGGAATCCAGGAAGAGAACCCAATGACTTTTGAATGTCTCCCGCACCGAAATACGTTTTAGGGCTTTGTGCAATTATCATTGACATTTTTATCCAATATTTTGAAAACCATTGCCTTTTTTGTTTTCTAATCTTTTATTTCGCATTTCTCTTATATGCTCCTGAGGAAATGAGGGATTTGTTGTTTGAGACAAAATTGGCCACTTTGGGGATGAGAGATGTTAGCGCAGAGAAGAAATCATCTCCTTCGAATTTTTTTTGTTCGTGTTTTAAAATTAAAGACATTTTTAATGCGGTTATTTTATACTGTATTATTTTTAGTGATTCTTGTCTGTGGTTTGGGTAATTTATATGGAGTCTGTTATAATACAGTTTGGAGGAGTCTGTTATAATACATTTTAACAATTGTGTCTTTTCGGATATGACGCATTGAAAAAGCNTGCGCATGCGCAGAAGTGAAATGCGTCATATCCGAAAAGACATATACTCTTCAAATGCGTGTTG